TAAACTATAAAACTCTTAGAAGAAAACAGATGGCAAAAGATGCACAACATTGGATTTGGCAATGATTTCCTGGATATGACATCCAAAGGCATAGACAACAAAAGAAAAATAATTAGTCTTCATGAAAACTTTTAAATTTTGCACTTCCAAGACACTCTAAACAAAACACAAAAAAGGAGAGAAAATATTTGCATATCATATATGATAAGATTAATATCCAGAAAGTATAAGTCACTCTTAAAATTCAACAACAAGAAGAAAGCAACCTGAGTCAAAATGAGGCAAGGGACTAGAATAAACATTTTTCCAAAGATTGACAAGTGGCCAACAAGTCCACAAAAAGATGCTCAACATCACTAATTGTTAGGGAAATGCAAACCAAAACTACAAGGAGATGCCAGTTCACATCCATTGGGATGACTATCAAGAGATAGAAAACAGGAGGTGTTGGTGAGAATCGTAGACACTGAAAGCTTTGTGCTTTGTTAGTGGGAATACAAAATGGTGCAGGCGTTCTGAAAAGAGTATGGCGGTTCCTCAAAAAGCTAAAAATATAATTACCATATGATCCAGTGATTTCCCTTTGAGGTATAATCATGAAAGAATTGAAAGCAGGGTTTCAAAGAGATAGTTGTACATCCACGTTTGTAGCAGTGTCTTTCACAAAAACTGAAATGCAGAAGCAACCCAAGAGTTCATCAACAGATGAACAGATAAGTAAACTATGGCTTATACATACAATATAATATTGCCTTAAAAAGAAAGAAATTCTGACATATGCTACAACATGGATGAGCCCTGAAAACATTATACTATTTGAAATGGGCCAATCACAAAAAGACACTACGATTCCACCTAAATGAAGGACTTAGAAGAGACAAAATCCTAGAGGCAGAATGCAGAATGGTGGTTGCCAGGGGCTTGGGTGAAGGGGGAAATGGGGAGTTTTTGTTTCATGGGCGTGGAATTTCAGTTTTACAAGACAGAAAGAGTTCTGGAAATGGATGATGCTGATGATGGCATAATATGAATGTATCTAATCCAGCTAAATGGTAGTCTTAAAAAATGGTTAAGATAGTACATTTTACATGTGTGTATTTTATCACAATAAAAAAATGGGAGAAAAAAACTGAAGAAGTATATAAATATAAGGCAATGTTATTATTTGTTACCAACTTGCTCTTATCTAACTCGGGGCAACAAGAGATCAAATTAAATTGGCTGGCTACTCTACTTACATTAGTATGTATTTTTATCTCACAATCAAGCTTCATTTGCCTAATCAGAACTTCATATTCAGGATTCCACATTACATTTCATGGTACAAGCCATAAATTCACGAATCAGTAACACATTCTTTTGGAAACTCCCATTGTTTTGTTTCTGTTGGAACCTGGGTGAGCACATGGGATTGTGGGGTTCCAACATTACTGCACATGCCACAGGTTCGTGGCAAAGGACAGCCTGCAGGAACTATGTGACAGTAGTGGTGGCCATCCTCATTCCCACCTCTGGAATGGCTAAGAGACGGTTCAAAAATTTTACACATATTTCAAAGGCACATTTATATTTTAAGTGTATGAGTCAATAGACCAAGCAAGGATAGAAATTGGAAGTGGTGAGAAAGAGGCCTGAAAACATTCTGATTCCAAGAGATCAGAGTGATTCTGGTCAGGTTCCATCAGGAGCGAGTCAGCATTTGGGTGGTAACTCCTCCAGGGTTAGAGTGTTTCCTGGAATCCTGTTTGTTTTTATCCACCCATCCCAGCATGTAAAGATCAGATCCCTCGTGTCTCCTAAAGTTGTAAGACTGAAAGCATTTCTCTCTACAATCCATCTTTCCTGTTTGTGGACTATCGATAATACTTATTGAGATATAAATCACATGCCATAAGTTGAAAGTGTACAATTCACTAGTTTTTAGGATATTCACAAGATTGTTTTGTTTCCTTTTTTTAAATTTCCTAGGGAAAGGAGAGAGCCTTAACTACTCACTCACTGATTCATTGTGTATTTATTGAGCATATTAAAAAATCAAATAAAAATCCCTGCCCTCATGGAGCTTGCATTCTAGTGGAGAACACAAACAATAAACAAGTAAAATAAGTAAACTATAAAGTATGTCAGTGGCAATAGTGACATGAAAAAAATAATAGAAAAAATAGGGTATACCAGTTGGTGATGGGTAGGACATGGATTATAAATTTAAGCTGGGTGGTAAGGGGATGTCTCAGGAGAAGGTAACATTTAAGCAAAGACTTGAAATAAATGAGGGAGTAAATCACGTTCTCATTTGGGGGAAGACATCCAGGTAGAGGAAACAGTAAATGCAGATACCATGAGACGTATGTTCTAGAAGCAGCCAGGAGGCCAGTGTGCCCAGAGCTCAATAAGTGAGGGGGATATGGGGGGGTGAGTGGAAATGAGGTCAGGGGGCCACTTGTCATAAGCCACTTGTCAAGACTTAGGCTTTGATTCTGAGTAAGACCACTTTCGAGTTGTGATCTGAGAAATGCTATGAACTGATGCACTTTGAACTGGGTCATGCTGGCTGAGGTATGGATTGTGGAGCCAGAGGGAGAAGGGAACAGCCTCATTAGGAGACTGGTTGCAATAATCCAGGTGACAGGAGGTGTAGCCTGGAGCAGATGGCAATGGGAAAGGTGAGAAGACAGGGCCAGTTTCTGCATAGAGTATACATGTAGACCAACAAGGCTTGGCTGCTAGATAAGATATGGGGAGAGAGAAGGAGAAATAAAGGTGACTTGAAATCTGCAAAGCTGAACAATAACAACCGATTGGTGGGACTGGGTTAGGTGGATGCAGTAGGCTAACTTCATATACTGCATTCATCCCCTAAGAAAGGTAATTGTGTAGGCCTGAAAACGTGTGTCATTCTGGAGCTTCTCAAAATAGTCAAGACAAACAAAATTTTACTTATCACCCTATTTCTAAAACACAACCGTCCCCCCCCCAAAAAAAATAAAAATAAAACACAACCCAGTTATTTAAAATTGCAAATAGATTGTATATACGGTTTTATTTCTATTTTGAAGCTAAAAACTGTTATCTGCCTATTATGTAACCAATAGTCAACTACCTTTATCAGGAAATTTAACACATTGCAATTGTTGCTGGAAATTAGCAAAATCATCAGTTCCGTCTGAGGCTACTCTTACTGCCTAATTTAATTGTTTGTCATAAAATCTTTCATATACTAAACAGTTTTATTTAAGTTAATTGCATCAAGTACATGTAGTACTACCTCAACCATAATTTTATAATTGCTTTTTGTTAATAAAATCTGCATAGTCCTGAATCTAAATGTTGGATATAAGCTTGCAGTGGACCTAGCTAGTACCAGATTGTGTTTCCAATTCTCTACTTGGTGGCTTCAAAATCAACCATGGAAGATTTACACACAGAAATCAACAAACGCTACAAATTGGGGCTCTCCTGCCCCCATCAGAGAGCACATTTAGCAGCTCACCACTGGGCATAGGAGCATGTGGAGTACGAATGCCAGATTTAGGCTCCACAGCAGTGGCACTGGGCAGAGAGGATGTAGCAGGAGCCATCCACCCCAGAGGGTAGAGGTGCTTTATTCTTGACATTGCTTAGAATCGCTAGCCTGGAAAGATAATAAAGAAACAGACCAACCTTAAGCTTTAAATTCTCTATGGACAATGTTCTTCCTTATTGCTTGTGCCCAGGGCAGATCCTTCCTACCACTCTCACCTCCAGTCTGGTCCCACTGACTGTCTGGTCACCATAGCTGTGACATTGAACTTTTCTAAGCCTTAATTTCCTGAAGGGATCATAAAATTTACCACACTGGCTTATCGTGAAGATTCGAGACCATGCAGAGTATATGCTCTGTATGTAATGCATGACGAACAAACCTTTTGGGGTTTCTCATAGCCTCAAGAGAAGGAGGAAACCCCATATATATCAACAGTATCTTTATACCTACTCTGATTTCCAACCTCTGAGCCCCTGCCAATGCTGTTCCTTCCACTTGAGGTCACTTCTCCTTATTTCTGCATGTTCAAACTGTTTGTCTTTCAAAATTGATCTAATTGCTATCACCTCTAGGAGACTTTCTCTTATTCCCAAGGCTGACATAATCTCTCCTTCCTCTAAAATTCCCTTGCTTCTTGGGGAATCTCTGGCACTATCTCAGACCTACTGGATTAGAATCTGCATTTTGACAAGACCCCCAGGTGATTCCTGGGGTAAGATTCAGGAAATCTTGCTCTGAACCACCACCAGTCCTCAAACTTGTCAGCACTTTGGAATTACCTAGGGAGTTTTTAAAAACTTAATGCCTAGATCCCACCTTGAGAGATTCTGATCCAACTGGTCTGAGGTGCAGCCTGGGCAACCAGGGTCTTTTAAAACTCCCAGATGATACTAATATGCAGCAAAGTTTGAGAGCCACTGGTCTACAAACTCCCCTTATACTCCTTTATGGAGCCTGCACACTTTCTAATGTTATGGTTACTTGTGTCTACGTATGTTTTCCTACTTCTCTTAAACTGTAAGTCTTTTAAGAGCAAGACTATTTCCTTGCTCGATTTTCATCACCTCTTCCCTAACAATACCTAGCCATATAATAGGAATTTAATAAATATTTATTAGATGAATGATACATGCATCATTTATTTATAATCTAAAAAGGTCCTCTCAATACCATAAGTGTAACTTTTCTCTTAATTTGAAGACTGATTGAACATATTCCTGAAATTATGGAGTTATATCCTCTTCAGTTCTAAGGCCAAATCTCTGAAGAATGGGGGCTGGTGACTAGAATGGGTTTTCTATCTAAGGATGGACTGTCTGGGTACCAGTGAGGCTGGACTCCTTAGAGAAAGTTGCAGCTTGGAATCCAGAGACTCCAGGGAGCAGTGCAAAATGAAGCAGCCCCTCCCTACACTCCACGCATCCAATTCAGAACTCTTGGCTGAAATGTGATGGTGTTATTGTTTCTTCCTCTCCAGGGTGCCATTTTGATATTTATGGGGATTGTTGTCCTCACTATGAAGGCATCTGTTATTGAAATGTTCCTTGGTAAGTACTTTTATATGTGTATCTGGATACACTTTTAACATTTTCCTAAGGTCCAAAGGATCTTGCCAAGAAAAGGTTTAAACCAAGACAGAACATATAAACAGCACAGCATATCTTTTTATGATAAACATTTTAGAGAGAAGTTTAAGTGATAATGTTAAGTGTAGATCAAATTCAGGATGTACATGTGTATATATATTTGTATAAAGCAAATATATGTAACGTGTATATATATATATCACACACATATACACACACATTATCTTGCATTCTTCAGCAACTAGAAAATATTTCAGATAGAGTGTATTTATAGATTCTGAATTTGGGAATCTTGTTACTTATTTCTCAAAAGAAAATTCTTTTTTTTTTTAAAGGAACTAGAGCTCCTTTTTTTAAATTTTTTAAAAATTTATTTATTTATGATAGTCACAGAGAGAGAGAGAGAGAGGCAGAGACACAGGCAGAGGGAGAAGCAGGCTCCATGCACCGGGAGCCCGATATGGGATTCGATCCCGGGTCTCCAGGATCGCGCCCTGGGCCAAAGGCAGGCACCAAACCGCTGCGCCACCCAGGGATCCCTCAAAAGAAAATTCTTATCACTGACATGGCCTTATTCATACCATCGGTGACTCATGCTTTTAGAGATGAAACCCTTATCCATTATCAGCAGAGAACACAATTTTGGGGAGGCTCTCTAGGAGCAGCAGCTCACCCAGAAGAGAGAAAGGGGTTGATGGGTTTAGCATTAAGCCCAAGGGTAACCTTCTATTAATCTTGACCCTGCTGTGCCCTGGCCACGTCAGATAGAGAGACGCTGTGGGTCACTGTGATACTATTGCCAGGGAAGACGCCAAGAACTTTCAGGCAGTCTATTCATTTGCTGGGGCTGCCACGACAAAATACCACAAACTGGGTGATTTAAAATGGCACAATTTTATTCTCGCACAGTCCTGAAAGCTAGAAGTCCAAAACCAAAGTGTCAACAGGGTTGGTTTCCTCAGAGGGCAGTGATGGAGACTCTGTTCCATGCCTCTCTCCCAACTTCTGGAGGTTGGCTGGACATCTTTGGCACTTCCTAGCATCACCTCAATCTCTGCCTTCATCTTCACATGGCATTCCTCCTGTGTGGTTGGGTATTCCCTTCTAGCATTATAGCTAGTCATATTGGATTAGGGGCCCAACTAACCCAGTACAACCTCATCAGAACTTAGATGATTATATCTGCAACCAACCTATTTCAAAATGAGGTAAGATTTGGTTTTGGGGCCTGGGACTTCAACATATGAATTTAGAAGGGACAAAATTCAAACTATAATGTAGTCAGAATGTTCAAGGTCTGTGAAGAGGGAGCCTACACAGCAGAGTTGGGGAATGGACGAGAAAGAGGTGACACTGGGAAAGCAAGATGGCTCTCACGTGGTGGAAGGAGACTAGACTGAAAGTCGAAGGGAACATATGGGTTCTGGTCCAGACTCCTCCACCGACCTGCTAAAGATTATTCACCCTGGAAGCTCAGGCTCCTTCATTCCCCTTTGAGAGGCTGCCCCTCCCCCACTCCCCCACTGGTTAGTAGGTTTCTCTTTTTTTTTTTTTTAAGATTGTATTTATTTATTCATGAAAGACACAGAGACACAGGCAGAGGGAGATGCAGGCTCCATGCAGGGAGCCTGATGTGGGACTTGATCTCAGGTCTCCAGGACCATGCCCTGGGCCAAAGGCAGGCGCCAAACCACTGAGCCACCCAGGGATCCCCTGGTTAGTAGGTTTCTTATGTAGGACAGATGGAGAGTCAGGAATAGGAAGGCCTTAGCTCCTGTAGAACACACAAAACAGGCAAACCCTGAGGCCATTTCATAGTCTGCGTGTCCCCATATCACAGAACCAATTGACAGTCCTTCCTTGTCCCCAGCCTCTCACAGCCTGCCTTTCTGCAAAACTCTCTCCCCTCAGGGCTCCTCACTCAGAAGGTGAGAAATCAAAGCAGGCAAAGGAGACTCCTGTCACACAATGCCCTCTCTGTGTCTTCACAGGTCTGCCTCCCCAGTATCTCTCTTATTCATCTGCTCATCTCCATCCCAGGGCCATTTCTCTGTTACTCTCCTCAGTACTGGGACAGCCTCACTGCCCCAAATCCTGACCCCTCTAACTCCTTCTCCATCACACCCCAATTAATCTCTCTAGAAGCCATGTCTGATCACTACTCTTGATTTAAACTCCTCAGTGTTTCCCCTTTGTCTTTGGGATGGGGACCACATCTCTAAGAGTGCCTTGCTTGCTGGGGAGGCCTTCCTGATACAGACCTTGCTGTCTTCTCTCCTTGCTCCCCACACAGTCCACTCTGGCTTCCAAAGACCTGAAAAGTACTGACCTTCTCATTCCCCTGAGGCTCACATCATTTCTCCCCTCCAGACCTCTGACCATACTGCATCCCTGGCCTGGAATGCTCTTCCTCTTGCCCCCACATCCCCACAAGCCCTACTTGTCCTCAGGGAGCTTCCCTCCACCCTCCCTCTGATTAGGCCATCTTCCTAAGGGCTTCCACTGTGTCCTGTATTGATTCTCATCATAGCTGCATGGCATTCACCTTGACACACTAGGCTGGCTCCCCCAAAGCTGTGAATTCATTGAAGACAGGACCTGTGTCTTGCTCATTGCTGCATTTTCAGTGCTCAGCACATCTCACAGGCACTCAGGAAATATTGTGAAATAAATTACTTTCCTCAAGGATGGTAGATTTATAAGGTATCAGAGTCCAACTCTGTACCCAATTCCATTGTGTGGGGTTTTTCTCCATACCACACAATTCACCAACACCAGCTGGGTGTCCTACGTTTGACTCAATTTTGACACTATCTACCTGGAAACATCATCAAATTCTACTGGCTAAGAGCTCAGTCCTACGAGACTGCCACACACAAAACCCCTGCAGATGCCAACTGCCAGTCCAGGTTGTCACTGTGCTTCTGATTGATTGACTATAAATCAGAGGTTCCCATGATCCCCTCTTTGGGTTTGATTGCTTTGCTAGAGTGGCTCACAGAACTTGAGAAACCAATTTACTCACCACTCACCAGATTGCCAGTTTATTACAAAGAATATTGAAGAATACAAACTAACAGCCAGAAAAGAGATACTATACATAGGGCAAGGTCCCAAACAAAGGAGCTTCTGTTCCCCTAGAGTTTGGGATCCAGCAGAGTAGCATGTAGAAGCATTCTGATTCATCAACATGGAAGCTCTCTGAACTCTGTCTTTTTGTTTTTTTATGGAGGCTTCAGTACTTAGGCATGATTGATTAACTCATTGGCCTCTGGTGATTGATTCAAACTTCAGCCCCTCTCCCCTGCCCAGAAATCAGAGAGTGGGACTGAAACCCTCTATTTGAAGTTGGTTCCCCTGGCAACTAGCTCCCTCATCTTTAGGGGATTCTCAGAAGTTATTACCTCATTAATATAAACTCAACTGTGATTGAAAGGCACTTGTTTCAAATAACAAGACACCTATTTCACATTTATGGCTCTGATTTCAGGAACAGAGGACAAGAACCCAAATATTATAACAGCAGGTGCCCCTATTGCTCTTATCAGTCAGGAAATTTCAAGAGTTTGGGAAGCTATGATCCAGAAACTTGGCCAAAAGACTCAAATAAATATTTACTATAAACCAAATTCCACACAGTACTATCCAATGATCCCCCCAAAACCATCTAAATTAATGTCAATTAGGTGTTTAATATATATCAGAGCTAGCATGTTTGTTTTAGACATGCATGAATTTCTGATACAGCAGAGTTTTGGAGCACTGCATATAATCAACAACTGCATTTACCAGGAGCAAGTGGAATAAATGGGCTGAGGCAGTAGCCTGCAAATTTCCATTCTGGTTCCAAGTTCTGCCCCCAAAGAAGTGCAGCTTTAGTCAAGGTGTTAACCTTGACCTTTGTTTCTTTTTTATAAAATAAAGGTATAGTCTACACAGCTCCTCTCAGCTTTAATATTCTGTGATTTGAAGCATAATTTTATGATTTATGTGATTGTAGAGAATAAGTTGTCCTGTCTTTGCTATGAAGCTCTGATTTATTTGATGCTAGATGTTTCATTGAGTACATAGAGTACATAATGCCAAATACCAAATTAAATCACGGGGGAGATCTGAACTGCTTTAAAATGATCTGCTTTGTAAATCAGTATTCAGGAAGGCATTGTGGACACCAAAAGAGAACCAGGGCTGGACAGCGTTTAAAGTGATAAAAACAGATTTTAATCAGGAACTACTGTAATAGAGGAGATCTCACTATAGAACCGGGCTCAATTCCAAAGACAACAAGGAACATGGAGATTTCTACCCAAGCAACAGGTTGTAGGAGTTGGTGGCTGGAAATTACTGAGAGAAGACATCAAGGGTAGGGGATTCTTGCTAAATCTACCTGACATGATTCTTGCTAAAGGAAGACTAAGGTGAATCAAGAATGGAGGATTCTTTCTAAACAAGATTCTTGCTAAAACCAGGTGATGCAGGACCAACAAAGAAGGACACTAAAGCCCAAGTTCAAGGGCCAGTTGAGAAGAGGGCTTGGAGGAGCCCCATTAAAGTTTGGTCAAGGATAGAGTCCTTGTCAACACCATTGGAGTTAGTATCTGGAGGGGCTCTGGAAGGATCTAACCAGGAGTTTATGGGCTACACTGGGGCATTTCTATAAAAGTTACTGATATATAATAAGTAAGTACCTCCTGATTTGATCATTGATTAGATATCCTGGCACTTCATGCCTTTTCTTGAAAGAAAGTGAATTCTGATTGTAATTCATTACTGGCCCAGAAAACTGGGATACGAGTGCCCATTAACTCTACTGATGATTTTGGTATGCATCTTTTATTATCATAAGTCTATAGAATTTCAATATGACCCAAATAAAAAACTATTTATCTTGCCTTTTTCTAATTGTAAAGGAAATGTATTCTATATAAAGTATGGGATTTATATATGGAATATACTATAAAATGGGGAAGATATAGAAAATATAAAATGACAATTCCATAATTATCAACATTTTGGTATGTTTGCTCCACTTGTTTCTCTCTGTATATATTCTAATTTTGTCAGAATCATTCTTCAGGTTAGAGCTGAGCACTTGCCAGTTCATCTAATATTCTTTAACACATCATTTGTAATAAATGTTCAGGATACTCCTACTGTTGGGACATTTCCAACATTTCATTATTTCTAGATTGCTGTTATAAATAATGCTGTAGTGAACATTTTTACATAAATTTTGTCTCTATCTCTAATTACAACTTGGGATATATTCCTAGGGGTATATTTCCTGGGACAAAGAATATAACTATTTTTAAGGCTATTGAAATACATTACCAAATGGCCTTCCAGAATGACTCCACCTGCTTAGACTTCACCTGCAGTGTACCTAAATGCCCTAATCTCAAATCCATGCCAGGATTAAATATAATCTTGTGTTCAGTATTTACTGACATGGTATGGGAAACTATCCTATTGTTTGGCTTTAGCTTGTATTTTTTACCATTAATGAGACTGAACATTGTTTTAAGCTAATTCATTTGCATTTCTCTATCCATAAGCTATCAGGATGATAATTTATTTAAACTGAATTTTAAAACAATTATGTGGGGATCCCTGGGTGGCGCAGCGGTTTGGCGCCTGCCTTTGGCCCAGGACGTGATCCTGGAGACCCGGGATCGAATCCCACGTCGGGCTCCCGGTTCGTGGAGCCTGCTTCTCCCTCTGCCTGTGTCTCTGCGCCTCTCTCTCTCTCTGTGTGTGACCATCATAAATAAATAAAAAATTTAAAAAATAAAACAATTATGCGTCAGCCATCTTAACTATACTGATGGTTCCTCTAGAGGAAGAGAGTGAGAGGTGGGAGGAAATCTTTTATTTGAAAAAGTAATTTCAACATTTAGTTTGTTTTGAAATTTCAAGCAGCACCACTGTCAAAGGATGAGAACTTTATTCAGTGTTATTCAAAACTAGAACACTAAATTTTTAACAATTGGAAAGTATTGCTGCAAATTTCGTAAACCATGATTGCTTTGGAACTTTGGACTCTAGACTTAATTTCCTCAAGCCTTCTAGACACTAATAGCCTCAGTAGCCTGATAAAGTGCTACTTGTGGTAGATCTGTAGTTCACTTTGTACTTGGAAGTGAGTATCAGCCATCCATCCATGCTCTGCCTGGCTTCCTTAGAAAAGCAACACAAGACTGATTTTTTTCCTTTCCCAAATTCACCACTTCCAGCATGGTAAGAGAAGCCTTACAGATGAGGAATGAAGACTCTAGGGCACAAGCATATTTTCAGCCTTATTGACCAACCCTCCCCCTGAGGAGTGGTTTCTGGGGAGTTTTAATTAACAAGCATCTAAGCTGAGGAGAGGGCCTCTGTGTACCATTGAAAATAATGACTTTATTAACCACTGTGGTAAAACTGAACCCAGCTATGCATGTTTTCAGCCTGGAGGGTGGTGGGTGAGCAAATGCAAGTGATGGGGAGGTCTTACTGAAATATTTATAGTCCTAATGATATGGAGACTTATAAACCACTTGCCACAGGCACACAGGCCCAGAAGGACAGTTTTTGGTTTTCCACAAGAACTGATACCCAAATGTATTACTATTTCAAATATTTCTTCTAATTAACTTGTTTCATCTTCTTCTACATTTTTATTTTGTACTTGTTTTCTAAAATATTCTAGGATTCGTCATTTTTTGTGTATAGAATGAAGATGTATCTTCACACAGAGGTAAATGACATAGAGACTACTATAAAAATTAGACCTCCAGGACACTCACACCCACCCAAACCCCAGAAGTAAACACCTAAAAAATGTCTGCCTTCATTCCTCTTGGCTAGACTTCTGGTTCGTATTCAGTTTTCTTTCATGTGTCTGTTCTTGCAGGACATGGTATGTCAACTGTCCAGCCTCAGCTAATGCTACTGGTCAAAACTGGGGATAATTTAGGAACTGCATCATTGGTGCAGATTAGCTAAATAATCACAAGATATGTAAAAATTTTCTTAACAAATCCTAGTGACAGTTTACTTCAAAGATAGTTGCCAATTCAAGAATTCCTAAGTCCATGTATGCCTAAATTGAACATCTATGTTGTGTTAAACACACACACACACACACACACACACGCACACACACACACACCGGGAAGTAGAATGCCTATTGTGATTATCTCTCCATGGACTCTGGAGTGCCAGCTCTACCCAGAAAGTGAGTTTCTCAAAAAAGTAGCTACAATAGAGGCAGATTAAGCAGTGGGTAAAGTAGTAGGATGCCCAGAGAGAAAGGAAAGAAGAATGGAGAATTGACTAGCCTTTTGAAAGGAAAATATTGCTTTTCCATCTACAGGTAGAATTAGCATTGGTACAGAGATACGATCATTGTCAGATGTTGTTAATAAGAAAATGCTATGAGAGGGCAGCCCGGGTGGCTCAGCAGTTGAGCATTTGCCTTCGGCTCAAGGCATGATACTGTCCTGGGATTGAGTCCCATGTTGGGCTCCCTGCATGGAGCCTGCTTCTCCCTTTGCCTGTGTCTCTGCTTTATCTCTCTCTCTGTCTCTCATGAATAAATTTTTTTAAATGCTATGAGAAATGTTCACAATACATATAAAAATTTTAAGTGGGCATATCTTTCAGACAAGAAATCCTATTTGGCGGGATCCCTGGGTGGCGCAGCAGTTTAGAGCCTGCCTTTGACCCAGGGCGCGATCCTGAAGACTCAGGATGGAGTCCACGTCAGGCTCCCTGTGTGGAGCCTGCTTCTCCCTCTGCCTGTGTCTCTGCCTCTCTCTCTGTGTGTCTATCATGAATAAATAAATAAAATCTTTAAAAAAATAAATCCTATTTGGAAATTTATGTAGAGGAAATAACAAAGGATCAAGGCAAAGATGAATCAGAAGTTGATTAAATTATGATCCATCCATACAGTACAATACCATTCAGGCCCTTAAAATTATTGTGAAGGAACATTTGACAACAAGAAAAAAATGTTTGTATTTTTACTTGTACTTACTTAAGTACAAGTTACTTATAAAACATTGTAAACACCATGAGCGTGATCAAATGTTTGTTTAAAAGCATTCTCATGAATATGTAGATGTATAGAGAAAAACGAAAATGTTATGCTTTTGTCTCATCTATGTTTTCTGCACTGTTCTTTGTGTTTTTTACATTCTTCTATGAGGAACATGCACTATTCTGATAATAAGAAAAAACTGGTCAATTTTGTTTTGTTTTTTTTAAACACAAGGCTCAAATTGGTAATGCAACTCGGAATTTAATTTTTTTTTTTTTTTTATGATAGGCAGACAGTGAGAGAGAGAGAGAGAGGCAGAGACACAGGCAGAGGGAGAAGCAGGCTCCATGCACCGGGAGCCCAATGTGGGACTCGATCCCGGGTCTCCAGGATCGCGCCCTGGGCCAAAGGCAGGCGCCAAACCGCTGCGCCACCCAGGGTTCCCCGCAACTCGGAATTTAAAAGGATAAAGACGTCCCCCTTCTTGCTCTGTTGTTATATTTCCTGAAGAGAACAGTATCCAAAAGCTGTTCTGCTCCTGTTTCTGAGGAGGAAGGTCATCTACCTGCAGGTGGCCTTGTGGGAGCACAGAACGAGATGCTGTTACAGTGCACCACCAGAGGTCACTCAGGTCACCCCTCAGACCTTGTGACCAGTTCCCCCCTCTTCTCCCTAGCCCCTTTTCCCCTTGTCTTCCTTTCCTAGACAGCCCTCCCCTGGGGCTTTTTACAGATCCCCTCCAATCCACTCTCCTTCCTGCACACATGAACACACACACACACACACACACACACACACACACACGTGCGCGCGTGCACACACCCGTTACACAGTTCTCTGACCAGTTGGAAATTAGTGATTTGGAAATTCGATGTGGAACAGAGGAAAGAGTGCAAGCAGGGCCTGGTGCTCAGCCTACCTCCATCGTTTATTTCTGGCACCAAGCAGTGAGTGGACTTCTCAGATCCCACATTTTCTCCTTTGGGGAATAAAGAGGGCGGAGTTGGTGTGGTGAAACACAAAGAAGCACAACAGAGAACAGGTGCCCAAGAGGCATTTTTGGAAGCCTCCTTCAGCAGGAGCCAAGACAAGTACACAAACTATTCATCTTATTTCCCCAGGGAACATTAGTTCCATCCATAAGAATATTCTAACATGTGATGAAAGCCGAGATAAGGGTCAGAAGGGAGAAAGTATTTAGGTAAAATGATATTGATTAGATTTTCTTTCATTTTCTCCATGTAGTTTTGCTGGTGACTGGAATACACTCAAATAAAGACACGACCAAGAAGATTAAAAGGCCCAAGTTCAGTAAGTAAAATTGCAATTCCTTATTAGCGTTAAGGCTCCCATGTAGAGGGCTGTTATTTTGTTTCAGATAATTTGGAAGTTTGGGGGGTTTTCTGTCTTACTTCAATTGCTTTGCATTCAGACTGATGACTAATGATCATTGTTTATCACCTACTTTGTTCCAAAAAGCACTTGAGATAGGAGTGCTGATTTTAGGTGAAAGATATATGGTTCCATTATACTGGAAAATTTGAAAATGCACATACAAAGACGAGGCAACACTATATCTCTATGGCTAGGCTGGAGTAGGTATTTTCTTGCCATTGAAATGTCAATTCCCCATACCAGAAAATTCAGTCTCGCCAATACAAACCAGCCTTCCTTCCAGCATGCTCTGGGATCAGAAGGTAAATCTCACAGAAAAGCCCAAAAAGTTTCACATCTACTCAGTGGAAAGAGGAAAAATAAATTTCATTTTTGGATGGTATATCAATTAAGATTAGATGACAGAAAATCTACAATAACAATTGCTTAAGTAAGACTGAAGTCTCTTTGTCTCTTCTGTAAACATAGTCAGTCTGGGCTTTTATGGAAGCTTTGTAATCTTCAGAGACCCAGGCTCCTTCTGTCTTGTCATTCTGCTTTCCTCAACATGGCTCTTGACTCATTGTCCAAAATGGGTGCTTCAGCGCCACCTGTCATGTCCACATTCCAGGCAGTAGGAAGGGATGAAGAAGGATGCAAACCCATCTTCTTTAAAGATAACCCTAGGAAATCAAATACACCGCTTCTACTTAAATACCACTGGCCAGCATTAAGGGAGAATGGGAAATGTCTTGATTTCAAGCATCTACAAGCCTAAGCTAAAAGTAAGGGGTTTGTATTACAGGAAAGAAGGAAGAATGGATCAGGAAATCACTAGCAGGACAGGACATAGATGGAAATGCTCACACTCAAATGCTATAAGCACACTGAGATATCTGGACCTAAATCTGTAGACTTGATGGAGGCCTAAGTTAAGGCATATTTATAAAGGACCATAAGAGAAATGCTATAGATACGGTTAACTTTGTGTGCACTCCGCAACTGAAACTTCTTTGTAGGCATCAAGTTTAGATGATTGAAATCAGCAACATTAATAATTCGAAGTAAAAGAAAGATATTTGCTTCGCACACCATTCTTTTTTCCTTTTGCTCCTTTAAACCCTCCATGTGGGATTTCCTGTTGAAATGAGACCAAAAGGGCAGCCAGCCACAGCCTCCAAGCCGAAAATACTAAAAAAGGAATCAGTTGCTTATTTATTCCTGTCAGTACCAAGAGCCAAGAGAATCAGCCCAGGGGCAGATGTGTGTTCAAAACAATGATTGGGTTAATATGGAGACAAATGCACACCCAAGTATGAATTCCTTTGGGCTGTTCCCAGTATCTTCATTAACTCATATACAAAAATCTTGAAAAGGTCCATGATTACCATGACAACGGTTTTCAGTGACTATGAAAGGCTGTGCTAAATGACCCAAGGGCAAACCTCTTTAAGAGATCTCAAATGGATTGAGTTTCTGATATGCTAAATTCTAACCTTATACTCAAAATCTCCCTGGTGATACAGCACATTTGAATCAATAAATGCATGAGGCCTTTTCTCTAATTAGAAACTCTGGCACAATCATTAAATAAGTGGGGGGGAGGGGGGGAGATACAATGGAGGTAATAGGATATTCCCAAACCATGGCAGTATCTGATTCTTTACCTCAGGAGTATTTCCAACTGACTGTCTATAGCTTGAGGCCAAAGCAGTTTTTCTTTTTTTTCTTTTCAAGGTTGCCAGTCTGCCACTAAGGTCCAGGTGACTGATGGCAAGGAGGCATGCCATTCATTCATTTTATAAGTATTTATTGGGTGCCCACCAAGTATCAGGTACCATATATGATACAACAGTGATTATGACTCTGTCTTTGCCCTCGCAGAGATCAAAATCTAGAACGAAAGACAAGTCACCAGGCAGCAAAAGTTACTCCAAGAATGTGGAGGAGAAGCTGTATATCTGGGAGGGCTTCCTGGAGGAAGCAACCTATCTACACTGATATTTGAAGACCAAATAGGTATAGACTGGCAGAAGTGAGGAGAAAAGAGTGTTACAAGCAGAGAGAAAAACAGCATGCCCAAAACCTAAAGAGTGGAAAGAGCTAAAAAGCAGTCCAATATGACTGAAATATAGAGTAGAAAGTAAATGTATTGAGACTGAGATGGAGGGCTAAGCAGGTGTCATATCATGGAGAGCTTTGTTACCACCACGTCCAGGAATCGGACTTCTTGATGAGGGTAATGGGAATATCTCAGTACAGTTATTTTGATATAATTTGCATAAATCCAAAGGGGATTTTTGGGAGAACATGGGGTGGCTCTTGGGATGGCAGCTGGAACTCCCTGGAACTGTATCCCAGATGAAAAGCCCTCAAGAATCAGTACTTCTGCTTCTCTCCATTGCCTCACTGCTTCCTTCAACTCTGTGTTCCCTCTCTCCCCTCCCTCTATTTCCCCTCCCCAAACTCTGTGAACACTGTATTTTTCAATACCGAGTCCAAATTCCTGGGAGAGAGAACCAAATTGCATCATCTCAGGCTACAGGGTGGTTCTCAGAGAAGAGGAAGCTGGTTAGGGTTGCGCTAGGAAAATGAGAACATCCTGCCAACAACAACAACAACACAACCCTTTCTGCCAACAAATGAAGAGAACGGAGAAAGAACGCAATTTGTTAGAAAAAGCATACAGACTTATGTGCATGTGCAGGGACAGTGAAAGTATCTACCAAGTCTGAACACAAAGGTGTACAGTGAAGTGGAAGACAGAAGAATTACATCTTCTCTCATCTCCCTGAGAGATGAATGCACGCACCTTGTGGCTGTCCCCTGTCCACCTGGACCCCCCCCTGAGCCCCTCCTGGCAATAAGTATACACGGATCCATGGATCAGAAGGTTGAAGACTTTGCATCATAACATCAAAAGGTGGGCCCTTTTTCTGGCCCAAATTTCAAGGAGACACCCTACCCTACAAGGAAAAAGTAGGGAGGCAGTGGCCTCTGTCCCCCTCCTCCAAGGAACACTTCATCATTTTACTCTTACAGCTGACATCTCAAAGTATACCTTACAGGGAGCTACTAAAGAGTTTTAAGCAGAAAGGGGAAATCATAAAAGTAAGGCTTTCAACAAATCACTTTGGCCTCAGTGTGAGAACAGACCGGGCCAGGAACCTTCAGTTCCTGGACCAGCAGCACCAACCCTGCCCAGCCCAGACTGGGAATCAGGCACGCGTGGGCCGGGGCCCAGCCATCCGTGTTTTAGCAAGTCCTCCAGTCATTCCAGTGCCTGCTGGAATCTGAGAACCTGTGGAACAAAGAGCTATCCCAGATGAGGGTTGCTTCCAGATCCGAATGCAGAATCACAGGTACTCTTCATTGCCCTCTGAGCTCTCTTCTAGCCAGCCCTCTGCTAGCGCCTGTTCATTCAAGACTAATGGTTCTCACCACCCAGAGGACTGAAGGTAAAATAGCAAGAAAGTAATCCAAGAGTTGGTCAGTGGACACTGCCCCCTACTATGCGTGCAGTGCTGCTCTTGACTCTTGAGGATCTAGTACCCAAGACCCAGTGCCATGAGTTGGCAGAGCCAGATTGGAAATGCATGTCTGTCTGAGGTGCCACCCCAGATGCTTTCCCTGTGCCTCCTCCCAAGCTACCAGGACCAAGGAATGAAATACCTGTTGCCTGGAGCCAGAGGAGGGTGTGGGATGAACACAGGCTGACTGAATAGGAAATAAAGTAGAAGAGATGTGAAGATAACAGGAAAAGGAGGAACTAGCATGGATATCTTCCTTTGGTCTGGCTGGAAGCCACACGCTATATGAGTGCATCTCTTCGGCATACAGGTAGGATTACTCTGCTTTAGGTAATTGTCACATTCTCTCCTCCACACTTCTTTTCATTTCTATTTCTTCTCATCTCCTTTCCTTTTTTCCATCTCTTTGGTCTACCCATGGCTCTCCAGAGGCCCTCGTGGTCATCACTTAGCTTCACTGGGGGCCCTTTGGACCAATAAGGTGGTACATGTAGAAAATAATCTGGCATGGGGGTTTTACAAAAGGGAAAGCAAAGAAAAGAAGAAAAAGAAGAAAGAAAGAAAGAAAGAAAGAAAGAAAGAAAGAAAGAAAGAAAGAAAGAAAGAAAGAAAAGAAAGAAAGAATTTCTCACAAACCTACTCTTCCCACTTATACAAGATCATTCATTTCAAGCTAATATTTTGCTTTCACTTACACAGTTGTATTGGGCACAATGTTATTCCATCATAGTTGGCTTATCATATTGCCTCATTTTCCACATCAAATCAAGTCTGACTCCAAACTGCCAACTCCTAGGGGCTGAGAAATTAAAATTCCATCACTACAGGGGCTTCCTCCTGCCCTGTACCAGCCCCTGGAAGGCCTGTGCAATCTACAACACTCAGAGAGGTCCTCTGCACTGCTCAGCATCCAAGCCCATGATACCTGTAGAAGTTGGGCCCTCCATTGTTTCCTGAATGGTGGCAGCTTCAGGGGGAAGACGGGGAAGTCCCACACCTAAGGCTTCAACCTGAGAGGGCACCACACCAGGTATTGCTCCAAGATGATGCTCCTCCAAGGCAGCTGTCAGGGAACAGGGACATTTTCCCTACTGGGACCTACCAGCCCACTCCCACCTTCCCAGTGTTGGAAGATCATTTTCTCTGCATTGCTCTTTGGGCTGACCAAGCCCAGGGCCCTCAAACAAGGGGAATTTGGAGAGACTAATTATTAATGCCTGAGGGAGAGTTTTCTTTGGGTAACTCTGCCTCCTCTCTTGCAATCTTGACTTTGGGAGGTGGGAAAAGACAATTGCCAATTTCTTCTAAGAAGAAATACCTTCTTAGAATAGTATGAGGGGGGAAAATACAATGAAAATAAACATAAGTTAATGTCTCAGTAAATTAACCTGCTGTGTGACCCATGGT